TACAAATGAGAAAAAAAAAAAAGAAATCAGTTACATGGTTAGAGCACATCACTGTTGATTTTTCTCATGCCGCTAATCACTAAGTTTTTCCTCATGTACAGAGGTAGTCCCAGAGGGTCTATGTTACAAGCCAAGGCAAACATTCCACACCGGGACAGATCTGATTCTGACGCAAGCTCCACAACAAGAGACGAAACTCTCAAGGAGGACAATCTTCCCGCCCAGCCATCATTGGCCAACCTGGCACATTCCCGTCCTATGGGCAGCAGCCATGATGACTTGCGATCTGATGAGGCCAACTCGCGACCACCTGGCCACAAGGAAGGCTCCCCTCAGATAGTCGTAGATTTTGTGGACGCTGTCGATCCCACTGTTGTGATAGGAGAGAGAGGAGAAGGGGAGGGGCAGGAAGAAATAGAGGCGGGGCATGCTGGCGGAGGGGTGGGGCATGCTGGCGGAGGGGCGGGGCCTGTGATTAGTCAGACAGTTGAGACAGAAGCACCGTTGTCTGGAGGTGCTGGCGGTGGGAACTCTGCTGCTCCAGACAGACCGCGAAAGAAGGAAGTCACTGTCAGACCCTCAGATAACAGGTGAGGGGATGGGTTGTTTTCTCTCTCCTGGTTCACCCGTAGTAGTAGTCCAGGGATGCCAAATCTCGGGTTTTTCCGGCTTTTTCCGGCTTTTTCCGGCTTTTTCCTTTTTTAAAAATTTCATCAGCCCCATACACTTGCAAAGGAAAGGGGAGAGGGAAGAGAGATGTTTTTGGTTGCTCTTTTATTAACTTTACAAGGTTCGTTTTAGGTGAGGTGTAATGCTCCGCTCATTTTCAGTTTTTTTTTTCTAAAGTCATTTGGCATCCCTGGTATTCCCATAGTTGACTCACGGAAGTCTGTGGTGTAGCGGTTAGGTTCATCATCGTTGCACACCGAAGAACTGAGTTTGATTCATGAGCGGGAAAGTTTTTATCGAGTAGTATCTTTGTCAGGGATGCTGTATCCGACTCCTCCTGGGTTGGCCCCTGACATGCAGGGTTGAAGCAACCCACTTTCTCGGTGATCTAAATTGTGTTGATGAGGGTGTAAAACATTTACTAATATTGTTATTGATCACTCATGGCTTGGTCCAGAATTATGTATTCAAAAAAAATTTTAGGTAATTTTTATAAGGTTAAAGATGGAATCTTTGCTGTTGCAAGAAAATTAAGTAACTCTAGTTAATCCCATTATACAGCTACAGGAAAGCGAAAAGTTAAAAAATTATTGAGTTACTCATATTTTTGGGGACTAGGATGAAATGTAGTACTTAAACAGCATTTTAAGTTCTCTTCATAAATTATTACAATAGAGCTGTGAGCTTTGCTTTGGCTATCGAAATTCTGCTAGAAAGTCAGTGTTTTCATTTGTCACTTGTAAGGCTTATTCATTCTCTTTATGTTTTTATCCTTGACCATGTTTTGTGGAAAAGATGTTGTTTTTGTCCTCCTCTCTCCATTTCTAATTCTTTTCTTCTCCTATACTTCCTCCTCTTCCTTCTTCTCCTCTTCCTCCTTTTCTCATCTTTAATTATCCTGGTCCTCTTTTCAATTACCTCAACCCCTTTCCTTTTTTCCATTCTTCATATCTGGGTGACTTTTTGTTATCCTTTGACAGTTTGCACTCACATTATTCACTATTCACTTAGTCAATTATTCAATTTTCTCTGTCACACACACACACCCACACACTCACACACACACACTCAGACACACACACACACTCACACACTCACACACTCACACACACACACACACACACACA